TGCCCTCGGCTGGTCACCCAGGCTACGGCCCACGCCTGAAATACAAGGCCACCAGCAGCGCCCTCAGCTGGTCACCTAGGCTACGGCCCACGCCTGAAATACAAGGCCACCAGCAATGCTCTCTGCCTCTTACAAAAGTCCATCAATTAGATGATGATATTCCAATAGTTTACAGCTGTAGTTATTTATCAATTATAGCTTAGGTGTTAAGACACCAGGTGATTCGAAAACTCAGCCCACTGGACAGGGATGAGGAGAACTAGCTCATGATCCCTTAGTCTCTGCCAAGAAGTGATTGCAGATTTGAGTCTATTAGGCCAAAAGCAGTGGTGCTTGCTGTGAATGTTTTCCTTCTTCTGTGAAAGCTTGACATTACAATGTGTTCCATGACCTTTTAGTCTCAGTCTCTACAGAAATATCTTATCTCTAATCGTCATTTCTTAGACATTAAGGCGGAAGTAGTATTGACTCAGTCCCTAGCCCTTGTTGGCACTTTCTTTGCCAAGGCCTCACCCTGCTGTCTGCCCCTCTCTCCCTCCACCAGTCTGTTCCCTCTCTCTTTGGCTGTTTGCAAAGCCTGCAACTGACATGCATAGGTGCCAGGGAAGAAAATACTGACTGGTATGAATTTGTCATCCAATTAGCTATGTTAGGTTTTTCTCATCTATTTTTAAACAACGTTTTACAAAAAGAGTCATTACCTTTTAGAGATACATACCAAAATATGTACAAATGAAATGATAAGATTTCTGGAATTTGCTTGGAAACAATTTGGGAGGTAAGAGGGAGTGAGGGGTATACATCGAATAAGGTTGACCGGGACTTGATAACTGTTGAAACTGGGTAACGGGAACATGGGTTCACTATACAATTCCCTCTACTATTGTATATATTTGAAGTTTCCATAATAAAAAAATTTAAAAATTTTTTTCAAGGAGGCTGTGAAAGAAAAACATAAGCTTTAGCTAACCAAATACAATTTTATATCATGGTTTCATGTGGTTTACTTGGGTCAAGCAACCTCTAACCACATAAATTTATTTCACCTGGATTTTCCACTAGGTTTCAACAACTGAGTAAAAATATTGCAGGGAACTTGGCAGCTTTTTCTTTGTGGCTTAGTAAACAGCAAAGAAAACGGAGAAAACAGAGACAAGTGTCCAAGTTATAAAAAAAGAAAGAAAAAAAAAAAACCCACAAGCAAGAAGGACCATTTTGAAAAGGATTCATTTTTCCTTTGACCTAGTATGAAATAAAGCTACCGTTATCATCTCAGACAGATACATTTGCTGTTAATTTGGCAGCATATCTTATTCAGGGCTGGCTTCTTCCTGCTCAGGTCACCGGGTGAAGACTGCAGCTGCTTTCCCCTTTCCTCCAATAAGAGCGCACAGGTGAAGCTCTCACCTCTCCTGCCCTGCTGTGTCCCACAGCTGCAGGTGGATTCTCTGACCTCTGCCAACAGCTCCATCGGGCCCATTGGCTCTGTACACCTGAAAGAGCAAAGTGAGAGGTAAAAAAGGGGAGCGTCTGAGACGGGCAAACTCGTCTCACCTCTCTGTTAGTGCAACTCCCCTAAGAATTCAAACTTCTAGAGAGAATGCCATCTCCAATACAACCTTGTTTGTATTTTATTTCAAACAATTGTTAGTTCGCTTTTCCTCAAAGTTTCCTCAGGTCACTGCTTTCAGGAAATATTACCTTTCTAAGGCTTTTCCCATTCCATCTTTAAAAAGTGCTCTTAAAACAATACTATGGGAAGCACTTCCAGGCTGGCAGGGTAAGGACCTCCAACAATCGTTTCCTCCATGAATCAATGAAAACACTGGCAAAAGTTGTCAAAATCAACTTTTTCAGAACTCTGGAAATTAACAAAGGCTTTACAACATCCCAAGGAGCACTTACTCAAGAAAAACAGCTAAATATAAGTAAAAACAGTAAGCTTTGTGGTGTTTTAAGGTCCCTAGGTGGTACAAATGGTTTGCACTCAACTGTTAACCTAAAGGTTGGCAGTTCGAACCCACTCAGAGGTACCATGGAACAAAAGCGCTGGCAATCTGCTCTGTTAAGATTACAGACAAGAAAACTCCATGGAGCAGTTCTACTCTGTAACACTTGGGGTCGCCATGAGTCATAATCAACTCTATAGCAACTAACAACAACCACAGCATGGCTATCCCTCTCTCCTTAGCTCCCTAGTAGCCTTGAAACCAACAGACTTACAATGATTGTAGCTGTGAAAACAATTAGACTAACAGTCACTGTAGGCGGTGACGACAGAATGGGTTTGGAGCTTCCCAAAAGTCCTATCCCAGAGAACTGTCACTTCCCAAAAGTCCTATCCCAGAGAACTGTCACTATTTGACCTGTCTAGAAGTTCCCTGAAAAGCTCCATTCTCAGGGCTTGTCTTTATTTGATCTGACTCAGGCTTCACGATGAGAACAACCCTATCTCTAGGGCATTTGTTGAAAACAATCAGCAGCAATTACTTAACATCACAGCTACCAGAGAAAGCAATAGCAGCTGGGGCTAACAAAAAGCTTACCAAAAAAGCTTAGGAAACAAAAGGTGGAAAATGAGATGCCTACAGAAGGCTCTGAAACTCTCCAAAATATTCCTGGGAATCTAAACAGCCACACATACGTACAGGGCTGTACACATGCCCAGGAAAGACCTGCAAAGGCCCTGATCTCTCACCTCTCACTGACCTTGAGGCTTTTCTCAAGCAGGAAGTGACTGCCTCCTAGAGCACTGAACACAGGCCCCAACATACACATAGAGTCCAGGCCCAAATGTCTTCACAAATGAAGAATTTACACCAATTCTTCACAAACTCTTCCAAAATAAAGAAAAGGAGGAAACACTTCCCAACTCATTCTATGAGGCCAGTATTACCTTGATAACAAGCCAGACAAAGATATCACAAGAAAAGTTTAAAACAAACAAATCTACTGAATATTCCTTCTGAATAGAGACCTAAAAATCCTTAACAAAACACTAGCGAACAGAATACAGAAGGGATTATACACCATGACCAAGTGGAATTTATGGCAGGAATGGCAAGGTTGGTTTAACATACAAAAAAAAAATCAATACAATACACTATATCCATAGAACAAAGAACTAAAACCACATGGTCATCTCAACAGATGCAGAAAAAAACCATCTGACAAAATCTAACACATTTCATGATAAAAACACTCAACAAACTAGGAATACAAGGGAACTTCCTCAATCTGACATCTACAAAAAACCCACATCTTAGACTCTACTTAATGGTGAAAGTCTGAATGCTTTCTCCTTAAGATCAGGAATAAGACAAGGATATCCACTCTCATCACTTCAGTACTGTACTGGATGTTCTCACCAGGGAAATTAAGCAAGAAAAAGAATAATAAAATAAAAGAAATTCAAATTGGAGAGGAAGAAGTAAAACTATCTCTATTCACAGATGACACAATCTTTCATACAGAAAACCCTAAGGAATCCATATACACCCATACACGAACTATTAGAACTAATAAATGAGTTCAGCAAGGTTGTAGTATGCAAGGTCAGTTTACAAAATAAATTGCATGTCTATACACTAGCAATAAAAATTAGAAAATAAAATAAAATACTTCCACTTATAATAGCATCAAAAATATTAAAATACTTAAGAATAAATTTAACAAAAGAAGTAGAAAACTTATACTCTAAAAACTATGAAACACTGTTGAAAGAAACGAAAGAAGATCTAAATAAATCAAAAAACATATTTTCTGTTTAAGGACTGAAAGATTTAATATTGTTAAAATGGCAATATTCCCCAAATTAATCTACTGACTCAATGTAATCCCTCTCAGAATCCCAGCTGTCTTCTTTGTAGAAATTGACAAGCTGATCCTAAAATTCATATAGAATTGCAAGGGACCCAGAATAGCCAAAACTGTCTTGAAAAAGGAGAACAAATTTGGAGGACTCACACTTCTCAATTTCAAAACTTAACACAAAGCTACAGTAACAACAACAAAAACAATGGTACTGGCATAAGGATAGACACATAGATTAATGAAATAGAAATGTCAAGTCCAGAAATAAATTCTGACATTTATGGTCAATTGATTTTCAAAAGAGCCCCAAGACCATCCAGTGGGAAAGAATATTCTTTTCAACAAATAGTGCTGGGACAAATGGATACCCAGATGCAAAAAATGAAGTTACTCACATCATATACAAAAATTAACTCAAAATGGATCATAAACCTAAATGCTAAGAGCTAAAACTATCTGCATACCATATATCTAAGAATTCTTATCCAGAATAAAGAACTCTTACAAATTAACTACAAAAAGACATATAGCCCAATTAAAAGACAAGCAAAAGATCTAAAGAGATATTTCTCTGAAGAAGATACACAAGTGGCCAATAAGCACATGAAAAGATGTTTTCTTGTCAACATTAATCATTAGGCAAATGCAAATCAATTACAATGAGATACCACTTCACACCTACTAGGACGGCTATAATCAAAAAGAAGGACAATAACAAGTGTCGGTAAGAATGTGGAGAAACTGGAACTCTCATCATACATTGTTGGTGGGACTCTAAAATGGTACAACATCTTTGGAAAAGTTTGGAAGATTCTCAAAAGTTAAACATAAAATTACCATATGACTCAGCAATTCTACTCCTGGGTATGTACCCAAGAGAACTGAAAACATGTCCACACAAAAAATTGCATATGAATGTTAACAGAAGCATAATTCATAATAGCCAAAATGTGGAAATACCCAAACGTCCATCAACTGATGAATGGATAAACAAAATGTGGTATATCCATACAGTGGAATATTATTCAGCCATGAAAAGGAATGAAGCTCTAAAACAAGCTACAAGATAGATGAACCCTGAAAACATGCCCGTGAAAGAAGTCAGACACAAAAGACCACATATTGTATGATTCAATTGATATGAAATGTGCACGACAGGCAAATCAATAGACAGTAGATTAGTGGTTGCCAGGGGGTAAGGGAAGGGGGTAGTGGGGAGTGACATAATGGGTATGAGGCTTCTTTCTGGGGTGATAAATATGATCTAAAATTAGATAGTGGTGATAGTTACCCAACTCTGTGAATATACTAAAGGCTACAGAATTTCATACTTTAATTGATAAATTTTATATAAATTATGTCTAAATAAAACTGTTTTTTAAAAAACAAGGTTAGAAGATGAGAATTAACAAAAATAATTACATACATATATGTTGGTTCTACCAAATGATGTCAATACTAAAAGCTTCACAAAGCCCCTATTCGTACTCAGTGGGTCTGAGTTGCTACACAACCCTCTGGTAGTGGAAGAAAAGACCTAGCGTGGGTGGGAGGAAATGAATTCTCCTGTCCTGAGAGCTGGAGACCCTGTATCTTTCCCTGGCAGAATGCACTCCATCCGTGAGCCTTTGTCACTAACATCCTCAACACGGGTGACCTGCTTCACGGTAACAGTGGATTTTTCAGCAAAAAAATATATGGCGAAAGCCATCTTTCCTTCTCTACAACTGTGGCACAGTGACCTCCTGCTTCCTCCCCCTCCTCTTTCGAGGTTCTTTAAAAATAATAATAATAAAGTCTCTCCCGTCATTCTGCAGACCCTCCCCTTGTTCCCTTGGTTACTTCCCACATGACATCCACTGCTGGCATTCTCCACTCCTACTCCAACCTCACCTCCTGGCAGCAGTGATGAGTTCTGCCACTTACTGTTCCATGTGGGACTGCTGAGGTTTTAATTAAGAGGAAAACCATTAAAAATGATAAGATATCAAAGGAGGAAGAGATAGCCTACAGAACTGCGTTATGGAAGGGGCAGGGTGGCTGACAGGCTTCATAACAAAGTTAGAGGCATAACTTGTGGAGCTCAGAAGTGAAAATACAAGTCAAAAGAGTGCCAAGTGAAAATTACACTGAATTCTTTACTTTTATTTTGTCTGCTTGATTTTATATTGCGTCCTTTCAAAACAGCCTTTTTTTTTTTTGCATGACAAACCTGAAGATGTCTTTATTTATTCTTAAGATAAAATCCCCCAGGACAACAGGCCATGCAGCAGTTACTGAAGATCATGAACTCAAGGCCCCATCAGGGGCTTCATATCTCAGACCAGGTTGTCTGGCCTCTGGATTAACATTTTCAGCCCAGGGCTGTTGTTGTTGTCAGGTGCTGTCGAGTTGGCTCCACCTCACAGCGACCCTACGCACCAGAGAACAAAACACTGCCCAGCCCTGCGCCATGCTCACAATCATTGTGATGCTCCAGCCCATTGTTGCAGCCACTGTGTCGATCCATCTCCTTGATGGTCTTCCTCTTTTCACTGACCCTCTGCTTTACCAAGCTTGATGTCCTTCTCCAGGGAATCCTAATAACATGTCCAAAGTAAGTGAGGTGAAGTCTCACCATCCTCCCTTCTAAGAAGCATTCTGGCTGTACTTCCAAGACAGATTTGTTCGTCCTTCTGGCAGTGCATGATATATTCAGTATTCTTCCCCAACACCATAATTCAAAGGCATCAATTCTTCCTTGGTCTTTCTTATTCACTGTCCAGCTTTCACATGCATATGAGGCAACTGAATATACCATGGTTTGGGTTAGGCACACCTTAGTCCTCAAGGTGACATCTTTACTTTTTAACACTTTAAAGAGGTCTTTTGCAGCATATTTGCCCAATGCAATATGTCTTTTGATTTCTTTTTTTTTTAATTAATGAATTTATCTCAAGTTAGATCCGTCTAGAATTTATTTTCTAAATTTTATTTATTTTGTTGTTGTTGAGAATATACAGCAAAACATACACCAGTTCAACCATTTCTACATGTACAAATTAGTGACTTTGATTATATTGTTTCAGTTATGCAACAATATTTACCCTCCTTTTCTGAGTTGTTCTTCCCTCATTAACATAAATTCACTGCCCCCTAAGGTTCCTATCTAATCTTTCAAGTTGCTGTTGTCAATCTGCTCCCATACAGATAGTTCTTAAAAGAGCATAATGCTCAAGACAGAGCTTTTTTACTAGTTAAGCTACACTACTGGGTGGTTTTAAGATGACTTCAGGGGATATTTTTGGTTTAAGGTTTAAAAATTACCTCAGTACAATAGTTTCAGGGATTCATCCACCCTCCAGAAAGTCTAGAGTCCATTAGAATTTGAAACTCTGTTCTAGATATTCCCCCTTTTGATCAGAATTCTTCTACAGAATCTTTGATCAAAACGTTCAGTAATGGTAGCTGGGCATCATCCAGTTCTTCTGGTCTCATAGCAAACAAGGCAGTTGTTCATGGAGGCAGTTAGCCACACATTCCATATCCTCCTCCAATTTTTGACTGTTCTTCCTCCTCCTCTGGTGCTCCAGGTGAATAGAGACCAGTTATTGTGCCTTGGATGTCCACTTGTAAGCTTTAAAGACCCCAGGTACTACACATCAAACTAAGAGGTACAGCAGAAGCACTAAACTTGTTATTAGGCCAATTAACTGGGATGTCTCATGAACTCATGACCCTAAACCTCCAAACCAAGGAATCAAATCTCATGAGGTGTCTGGCTGTACATAAGCAGCCTCAGTAGCAATTTTTTTGTTGTTGTGGTTGCTGTAAATATATCATACAACTTTTGCCAATTCAACTTTTTACAAGTATACAACTTATTGACAGCAATTAATCAGCTGTGCAACCCCACCCTTAATCAATGCGATTTTTCCAGCATTAACTCCCCTTTGCCCCTTTGCTCCAGCCCCTGGTAACCACTAATAAACTTCGTTCTGTATACATTTGCCTTTTCTTGTATTTTTATATAAAGAGGTCATACAATATTTGTCCTTTTGTGAGTGGCTTATTTTGCTCACCATATTGTAGCATGTATCAAGACTTCATTCCTCCTACTGGCTGAGTAGTATTCCAGTGTATGTATGTATCACATTTTGTTTCTCCATTCATCTGTTGATGGACATTTAGGTTGTTTCCACCTTTTGGTTATTGTGAATAGGGCTGCAATGAACACTGATGTACAAGTCCCTTTTTGAGTGTCTGCTTTCAAGTGTTTTGAGTGGATATCAAGGAGTGGGATTGCTGGTTCATATGGTAGTTCTATTGTTAGTTCTTTGAGGAACAGCCACACTGTTTTCCACAACAGCTGCCCCACTTTGCATTCCCACAACCAATTTCCCTACCTTCTCACCAGCACATTGTTTTCTTTTTCTTTTTTTTAATCTCAGCCATCACAGTGGGAGTGGAATGGTATCTCACTGCAGTTTTGATTTGCATCTCTCTGACGGCTAATGACGCTGAGTATCTTTTCATGTGTTTGGTAGTTATTTGAATGTCCTCTTTGGTGAAATGTCCATTCAAGTCCTTTGCCCATTTTATGATTGGGTTATTTGTCTTTTTGTCATTAAGTTGTTGAAGTTTTATATATATTTTGGTTATTAGATGCTTGTTGGATATGTGGTTTCTGAAGCTATTCTTTAGCACAACCTTTTTAATCCTATGGCTCAGACTGAGCATAATACACTTTCACATGTACCATTTAATTTTAGATTCTAACCTTTGTCCTCTTAATTCATACAAAGTAAACTAAACAGACAGGTAAATGTTGACTCGGGTATTACATTTTTATATAGAAGGATACATAACTTACCACTCTTTTTTCCCTGAAATCAATGCCCACTGTGGTGATAAATTTGGAGTTAAATTTACCATCTGTGTACTGGTAAAGTACACTGGTCTTCCCTACTCCAGAGTCTCCCAAAGCTAAAAACTTGATGAGGTAATCATAGTCTCCATTGGACATAATGAAGAACTCGGTGGGTCACCTGCAAAACACAAAGCAATGAGTATTTATTGAAAATCCATTAAAACATATTAGAGTTCTCCGTGAATAAAGTGGCATCTTAATATTCAATTCAACAGGCATTCTGTGTAACACCTAGATGCTTAGGTGTTCTGTGAAGAGAGGATTAGTTGTTGTTCGTTGCCCCAGAAGGCCTAATAATCTGCTAGATGAGATGGCACTGAAATAGTAAATAATTAATTTTATTTTTAATTTAACACCACAATACTGTTAAGACAAAAATTCCAGGTGAAAATGATAATCAGGAAGATAACTAAGTATTATTTGCAGACAATATAGAACAAAAACTAATAAAACGAAGAAAGGAAGGCAAACGTTATAGGGAAAAATAATAATTCCTAAAGTACAAGTAGTTCTAATTCCTCCTCCTTCAAAGTCTCCTAATGCCGCACCCCGTCTCTTTTCTCTTCATCTATTTATCAATTCTATTTATCCTATTTACTTTCACATGTTTTTATAACTCTTTCATAGACAAGTCCAAATTCACAAATAGAATTTGGCATGCAGCTCCCTTACGTATTATTATTAATATATTAATGTGTTATATAGTAAATCAGACTTTCCTGGAATATCACTGCTCATCTTGGAACTGCATTCCAGAGCTGACCAGTCAGTGTGCAGAAACAATAGTTCCAGGACTAAGAGCTCATTTACCTGCGCCTGCCTTGGTAGTCTAACAGGAAATGCTGACAGCTCACCTCTTTAATACTGACTAAACCAAAACCCCATTTTGGAGAAGAAAAACTTGTTTTTACCAGTGACACCTAACCATGGTTATTTTTTGGTCCTTTGCAGTGGACACATTTCATGATTTGCTTTTATTCTCCAAACAGTCAAACTTAAAACATTAATCCAACTGGAAATGTAATTTGTCTACAGCGAAGGCTTACTTCTTTTTATCCTCCCATCTTGACTACCAATAAACCCCCCCGAAAATCAGGAAAATAACCAGCCATTCCATTATCGCTAACACCTCTGCCTACCTGTTCAAACCTACATCCCCACCCGTCCGCGCGCGCCAGATGCCCTACATCCCCACCCGTCCACACGGGCTGAATGCTCTACACTAGAATCTGCTGACTTGCCTCCCACTATCCCCATTTAACCCAGCCCCATGTCTAGAAACCTTGCTGTAACACTCAGTGTTTCCTATTGGATTATTTCTACAGATTTATAACAAGGAATAAAAGCTCAGGCAAGGACATTTACAGATTTTCAAGGCTGCCTCCCCCACGCCATCCTCAGCTTGCTCACTCACCTTATGCCCCCAAAGCCTGAATGCTGAGCCCTAGGAGCTGCTGCAGTGTGCTTCTTCAGAGTGCCTTAGGCTAGGTCTGAGACTCGCATTCAGATATGGCTGGTCAGTCTGTAAGGGCAGAGCCTGTACAAACATTCCTAATTCTATTTGCACACTGTAAAGGATGCTACTTTACAGATGATGATTTTGTATTCGCAGGTCCAAGTGGCCAGTGTTAATGAGGTATAATCGAATTCCTCGCCAGAAGATAACTGGGTGGGTATAAACAAACACCCTAGTATGTCATATAGCATATCACCTGGCCCCAAGTTATTTAGAGATAGAAGCGGAGAATTGTAAAGCAGGTTCAGATAACAGGTAATCATTTTGGAGATTCTCTCACATTGAATGAGGAAGCAGAAAACAATTCTGCAATGACTATGATTCAAGAAGATATGTGACTACCTTCGTTTCCTCTTTTAATTTGAAAAAGGCTGGTCATTTCTATAACTATGTTTTCACATTATTTAAGGTACAGGGAAAATGATGTCAGTAATGGCATCCATATTCGACAATGCACTGAACCCACTTGAGTAAAATTCAGAGATTTAGGTGAAACAACTTCTTGTGTGTACCAACAATTCAGTGTGGTTAGTTTTCATGGGAGAAGAATCACACACACAGGTTTATGAACGATCTCATGAGTTGTGCTTTCTCTTCCTGTTGGTAGCAATTCATCACAGCTTGTTCCCAAACTAAGTCCTCGTAAAGGAAGTGTTAACAAACCAAATACCACAAGCTGAAGGTGTGGATGCCACCATCAATACTAACCATAGTCTGCAGTTCCAGAAAACACTTTTAAGATAATTATCTGCTTTCTTGGTCTTCAAATAAATGCTCAGATCTTTCACTCTCTGGGTTTAGCCTTCTAAAGGAAGAAACAGAGCTCCGAGAGGCTAGCTGGTCTGCACAGTCTAGAGCCCAAGTTTCCTAACTGCAAGTCCAATCAATGTCCTTTATTCTACCCCCAGCGATGTGGCTGTTACTCAACTTTTTACAAATGCATACTGGACTTAATCGTAACCAGTGGCACGTATGGTGGTACAAGGTGGCCTCAATGAAAACACACCACCTCTGAAGTCAAGACAGAGCTCAGTTTGAATCCCAAGTCTCCCACATACCAGCTGCTTGGACATCTCTGAGCCTAAGCATTCCAGGTTTCCAGCCTCTAAAAAGAGAACACACAATACCTAGCGCCCCTGTTCTGACATTGAATGAGATACTGCTGTGGAGGCCCAGCACCACGCTCGGTGAACACCAGGTACTCAGTAAATGTCACCTCACTTCATTCTCGCAGCTTGGACACATCAGGCTGGTTCTGAACACTTGAGCAACTTCTTAAATCAGCTCTAGTTAGCTCAAAACATCTTTCTAGCACAGAAGATTTCTGGCTGGCTCGGAGTAGTTTGCTGAGCCAACAGAGATGACGTTGAAACTAAGTTTGATCTTTTCAGGCTGGTGTAAACCATCTCCAATCCATTTAAAACAGATATGCCTAGTTCAAGAGTCCTGCCCAGCTTAAAAACAGGTTAGATCAGTATAGAACACTCCAATCCATTCTAACCAATACATATTTGTTCAAAAGAATCTGACTGGATCGTACTTATTTAGAGTGGATCTAACCAGGGGGACCAGGTTCTACCAATAAAACCATTTCTGACCATCTAAAACCACTGTGAATGGCTAAAACCAGTAGTATCTGACCAAAATTATGTGATTCTGACTTTAATAGCCCAAAGTGCTTCAGACTAGTTTTAGTTAGCTCAAATAAGTTCTGACCTGGACAAGCAGGCTCTGACTGGCTCATGTAAGTTTTGACTGGCTCAGAGTATATTTCACCAAATCAAGCCGGTGCTAACCAAATAAATCCACTTCTGACTGGAACACACTTACTCTAAATTTATCAAACTCCTTCTGACTCGTTCAAGTCATCCATGAAGTAGTTTTTACTGGTTTAAACTGGCATAAACTGGCACAAAGAAGTATGAACTGTTTCAAACTGATTTCAGATGTTCAAAGCAGTTCAAGACCAGAAATGCAAAATGACAATCAGAAGTGCCTGAAGCAACTGTTTGGTGCTCTAAATTTGCTCTAAAACAAAAAATTTTAAATGTTACTTATCAATCACCTCAGTTGTAGACAGTCTGACCCCAAAAGTTTATCACAGTATACTTTACACTTGAATAGCTTGCATGAGTTGAAGTACAGAAAACAAGTTGAGAGAAAGGAGCATTGGCAAGGAAAATATGCTTTAAAAAAAAATTGGGAGAGGTGCATTGAGTGACACAGGCTTCCTTGGTTGAGAACTTGCCTCCCATTTGATCTCAGGGAGACGGAAGCAAATGTAATCCATGATCCAACAATAAACAACAATCGGGGAAAATCTTTAGCAAATTTGGAGGTTGTGCAGTTGTTGTTGCTAGTTGCCGTCAAGTTGATTCTGACTCACAGTGACCCCATGTGTGCAGAGCAGAACTGCGCCATCGGGTTTTCACAGCTGTGACCTTTCAGAGACAGATTGCCAGACCTTTCTTCCAAGATGCCTCTGGGTGGGCTAGTAGTTGAGTGCTTACCGTACCTGTGTGTGCCACGCAGAGACTCCTAGGTTGTACAGTTTGTTCTAAACTGGTCACGATGACCAGGCTGACCTGGGTTAACAAAGGCCAGAATTCTAATAAGTAAGGAAGTGTCAAGGAAACACAGGATTCAGGGAGCAGACAGGTCTTCAGCGTGACAGGAGGAAGATTAGAGTTTGGACAGGGTCACTCACGACGGTGACAAACCCATCTGAGCCTGCAGCCCACTTAGTCGAAGCCTGGAGTTGATGACTCATTCCATCTTGCAGCAGACAGTCAGTCTAGCCCGTAGCCCTGCGGCACCAAGCCCACCCAGTGGTCCGTACATGGTCATCTCACCGCTACGCATCACCGACACAGCCTACCTAACGTAAAGCCTCAGCTGATGGGAGGTCAGGAGAGTCATCTTCATACTTTAAAAAATGTTTTTCTTTTTTTGTTACACAAGTCCTGAGTGGCGTTTCTAGGCCTGTTCTCCAGAAAGAAAATATTCCACTTTCCTTGTATTAAAAAAAAAAAAACAAAAAAAAAACAAACCTGTTGCCATCGAGTCTATTCCGACTCACAGCCACCCTATAGGACAGAGAAGAAGTGCCCCATAGAGTTTCCAAGGAGCGCCTGGTGGATATGAACTGCTGACCTTTTGGTTAGCAGCTGTAATACAGAACTCTAATAATACAGATTATTTTTACGTTCACATTTTAGAGCAGGCAGGGAAACGGTGAGAGAACACCGTGCCAGAATTTGACATCTGGGGCACCCAAACAACACGTTTCCTGCAAGTTCTCCAGCCTGTTACCGCTCAGGAAGCCAGTTTGTCAGTGTTTCCCTACTGCACGGCTCTTGCTAGAAATGGGTCAGCAGCCTGGGTCAGACGCCCACGTGTCCAGCACTTCACACACATCGGTGCGCCGATCCTCCTCTCAGCCCTGCAGGCAAGCTGTACACACCACACATAGCGTCTCCTCTGAAGGAGCTCAGTGCTGCCGGGTCACAGATGCCACAATGGGGCAGCGATTAATTGGGTCTTAGCCAGTCCATTCCCATGCTGGCATGGGAGCAATTCCAACGTATTGTTGGAAGACCAAA